CAGTATATTACTGAAAAACCAAATTATATTTTCTACCCGATTCTAAATGAATCGGGTAGAAAATATAATTTGGTTTAACCATTAAAAAATAATTATTAAGGTTTCATTTTACACTCACAACTAAGATATTTTATTCATATGGCCAATACGTTCTTAGTTCAAAACACATATTTCAAAATAAATGAGATATTGCCATAGAAATCCATATTTCCACAAAATATCAAACATACCATCGGTTTTATGTTCAGGTGTGCCTTCCCGATAATCCCGTTAAGTCTCACTTTTAAAATTGGTTGCATTTACAATTAACTTTTGATTTTCTATGTTGCTTTTGATTAATATCTTTCTATACTACGTTATAAACATGTATTTAATAAATACTGTTTATAACTAACTGAGAAGCCAAAAATCTAAATGGCGTGCAATAGGAGAGGCCTATGTCCAGCATATGTCCAGCAGTGGACTGCGATAGGCTGATGATGAATGACTAATAAAAAGCTGACAACTTTATTGACAAAGTTTACTGTGCATTGTGAATAAATACAATAAAAGAGGCGATGAAATTGTGGGCTATGTTTTTATTGATTGCCAACAAGAATAATCTTATTTTTGTTTAAAAATATTTCTATGTAAATAAAACACTTGAAAATGTTTACATACAATTTCATCCTTCAATACATGTGCTTCAGATTCCGTATGATAAAAAATTAAAAGAAAAGAAAATTATTTTATTTTTGAATAGACAAAAATGTGTTAACTTATATTGAAGTTTTACGTTATTCTAATTATGATAATAGCTTGATTATTGCTTTGATACGCTATATATGTAGCCCTGGATACATATGTAGATCATTAATTACTGAAAGTTTGAAATTTAATGAGTCTATAAAAATCTTTAAAAAAGAGCCTGGCCGCCGACTTGATAACAACGAGACATAAAATCGGACTGGCTACCGTCGTTATGTATGTATATTGAAAAATAGCGAAAAGCATCATTAATGCTTGCATGTGTAATGAATTTTCAATGAAATTATAACGCGGGCAAATCTGGTTCTTGATTTTAAAATAAGTACACTATCGGCATACGCCTCAGTTTTGGTTAGTCTGTATTTATATTGTTTCATTGTACATATATTTGTTTTTGTACAGCCACTTCCATTTGTATGTAGGTACAACGGTGTTATAGCAATTCAGTTCTTTTAACACCTTTGAATACGGAACCCTATTAGCTCATGGTGAATGGTATTGAAGCTTATATAATTGTGTTATAATTCATTATTGAAGCAAGTGTTGTTCTGTAGTCTCAGAAAGCATTAGATACCAAAGAATATGTCACTTTCAAACATATTTTTATTTGCTGTGGTTTTTTATATGGCAAGTGCTGCAATTACGAAAGTTCATTTGCCTAGAAAAACAATAAAATTAAGTGAGTATTGACCTTAATAATTTTGTTGTTATGACTTTTAAATTTATTTTAAGACCTAAAAAAGCATAAACTTCGTAGCCTTCTAAAAGTGAATTCTAAGTAAGCTAATATTTATGAATGGTTAGGTCAAGGATTATTCTTGGTCGTGATTAACGAATATTTTGTGATGACGACAATGCTTCCGTATCTACGTCATCTAAACATTTTGATGGCGCTTATAAATAAAAAAAAAAGGAAATTGATAACTATCTGAAAAAAGTGACAAGACTATTGAGTTTGTGCTTATGAAGCTGTATCACATCACATTACATATCAACAGCCTGTAATAGTCCACTGCTGGACATAGGACGTTGGCCACAAGGGTTTTTATAGGGTTTTTGTCAAGTTTTCCTTCTCTTTGCAGTGTTGTGTTTTTGCGTAGTTTGCTCCCTTAGTCGGCTCTTACGACACTCACAGGATGAATAGGGGCATTGACACTCAGTATTCTTAATACGTCACCACACTGAAGCTATACTCGTATGTACCGTTGAAATCAAAATAGGTGTAATTGACTCAAAAAACAAAAGAAATAGATCGTATACAATTTTTCTAAAGTATTTCTAATGGTTTCATTTTCCACTTTGGTCACTATCTAAACTATGGTTTAGTTCTTTTTTTTTTTTCAAAAAACATATCTTACTCTTGGAGTGTTCTCGAACTAAATGTTTGAAATCCTTTTCGTATCATTTTCTTGGTCTTCTATCTATAAAGGAAATACTGTTTTTGCTATATGTACATAATATATTATGTGATTTGCAGGTACTTTTCTATTTAGAAAGAATGTTCTACCACCAACCAACACTCACTCTCGCTACAAAGACCCGGGTTTATGTAAGTGAACTTATAAAAAACTACAGTGATCGCAGTAGAATAAGGTTTAAAGATTGTGGAATATCGAGGCACATGTTGTATAATAATACGTGTGCTTGATTTTCCATGATCTGTTGGGTCAAGTGAAAGTATGAAAGTTGATGAGAAGGTCAATTCTCGTGATATAAGTTCGGTCCCAATTTAGTTTAGTTCAACTTTCGATCACTCGACTGTCATAAAAGATATTTTCGTAGTAAAGTATTAGGGGCTAAAGTACGAAATTGCCGATTTGTACTGAAAAATTGAAGCTCGTTTTTTTTTTAAGATGTACCTAATTTTTTTAATAAAAAAATTGCCCTCGTTATCTCTACATTGCTGCCACATAAATCAAAGTTTATTTATGCCTTTACGATAGAACTCTGGGTATCTAGATTCGACAAACTGTGTGAAAGCATTTGGTACTGCCTCCTGGGAAGAATTTTTTTTATCACGTCAAAAATTGTCCAAATCACGAAAAAAATGGTAGTCCGTTGGAGCAAAGTTCTGGCGAGTACGAAGGATGATGTATGGTTTTTAACTGCTCCTGTAGAGTTTCTCGTGCAGTGTGAGGGCTTGCGTTATCATGGAGCAGTAATGGTGAAGATCGATGCATGGAGTCGGGGCTGTTTCACTGCCAGTTTCGCCATCATTGTTCGAAGTTCGGCATCATTCCCTTTTTATTGGTCAGCTTTACTTCAGGGCGCATCGGGTTAGTTCCGCATCTGAAGTTACATTAAAAAATGACTCAGATTTTCGATTTATGTCAATTCAAAGTATCTATTACTATGCAACGACAATTTCATACTTTAACCCCTAGTATTAAACATCCTGTAATGTGTTTTTATCGTATTGTACATGAAAATCGAATCGGTAATATGTTAGTCTTAGTAATACTTTACTATTTTACTACGAAAATACGTTTTATGACAGGTGTGAGATCGAAAACTGATCGGAATTTAATTGTTACTTTTGTTACGAGAATTGGCCTTCAGGATCGACCTCAAAAATATACACCAGTGGAATAAGTGTTAAAAAAAAAGGTCAGGCATCGGAATTATGGAATTCTTCTCAAAAAACGCGACTGTGTATATTATATATGAAAGTAACTGTAAATTAAATTGTAAACACACCTTGTGTGATATTTTATTTCAAAAATAAAAAATCAGTTATCACAAAAGTTGGTTTCTGTGTCAAATGTTAAATTAAAAAAAAAAGATAGTACTGCATCTAACGTGTCAATCTGTAACCGCCCGTTACAAAATTGTCAAGCCTTATGAGAAGGATATGTGCGCACAAAGATGGTCTCTCTTTTAAATCGTAACAGACAGACAGTTGTAATATTATTAAGTCAATTGTATCATTCAAGCCGGATCTATCACGATAGTTATCTTAGAATCAACAATTTTAATCGACCTTACAGTTAATGTTATTGGCATAAGTATGCCATTGTATAAAAATAATATCTCTTTGCGTAGGCGGACTGAATGAAATATTATGGGTTTTTCGTGATATTTCTTTCACATAAGTGTGCGATTCGTATAAACTGCATGGAATGCAGAAGAGACACACTTTTAAACAAGATACTTAGGTTTATTTTACCAACAATATAGTTAAAACAGTATTATAATACTGTTTTAACTATATTGTTATACTGAACTATACTGCAAAAAAAATATCCTAACTATGGTTAGGATATTTTTTTTTGTGGTGGCATCTTAGAAAATCTCATAATAGAAAACCGAACAAATCTGTTTAGTTGCTCGAAATGTCTCCTCTAATTGTGTATGGAATAAAAAATAGATCAGGAAGTGATAATAGATCTGAAACTTACCCAATACTTTCTAAAAGTGTAGAACTACTTTAATTGTGTGACTGGTTTAGGGGGACTCAGTCATGGTTCTTGGGAATTGCCATCCTATAGTACCTGGGAGTCTCACAATAGACTCACCTATGACGGAACTCTGTGTGGTTTTAGTCGGTTCGTTTCACTATTTTACCTGGGTGAGGTGATGTCCCGTAGGTTTTCACAAGCTAAACATAGCGTTACAAGCTAAACGTAGCACTATAGCGATTGCAAGAAAAGCGGTATATTTATATTTTTTACAAAGCGGCATTTTAAAATCCCAGTCTCAATTTACGGATCTAAAAAAGATCATTTTTCGTATACAAAAAAGTTTGTTTACATCAAAATGATGAATCATAATGTAAATCCCAAGATATATTGGAATGTGCTTGGCGTCCTTCGTTAGGCCGTCTACATACATTGTGTTTAACATAATAATTAATTTATTTAATAATAATTTATTTTTAGTCCACTTGTTATTATAAGTAAGTGAGTGAGTTTGTTTGTTACGAATTCACGCTAAAACTACTAAACCAATTTAAAAATTATTTTACCTATAGAAAGCTACATTATATGCGAGTAAGGTAGGCTATATTTTACCGTGATAACCGCACTGTAAAACAATTTTAATAGCAAAATAAATAAAGGATAAAAATCTTAGATCGACAGAAATCTTATTAAAATAATTATAAAAGTCGCGCGTGCGTAAGCAGATGATTAGGAATAAAAACAAGATGTTGACGAGCCAATGGTCATTCGAACTCTCGCAAAGCCCGAAGCTGTACTCAAGTATCGTTCCGAAACTTGTATAACGCGTTCACGTAAATAATGCAAAATATGAAAATGGTGTCCAAGGTTTTAATATTTGTATTGATAGTTGGTACTGTTAGCGCCGCCACTTGGAGAGGGAAGCCACCAGTGAAACCTGAACATTTAGGTGAGTTTCCTGTTGATGAAGATATGATAGACTAGATTACGTTTTTTTTCCGTATCCTGTCTAATGATCAAGAGTCTTGATATCCTAATATTTTGATGCGAAACTAGTTTTCGTAAACGTTTTGTTTTTCACATAAATACCAAATAGGTATACAATTATTATACATACTGTTTTATTAATTTATCACTGTTTTTTTCGACCATATATGTGTTAATATATTACTATCAGATTTTGTACTACTTATTTTGATTTAAAATATCTGATATCCAATGAGAAATAAATAAATTAACCCAACACACCATACGAAATTTCGGAGCCTAGCAACAAAGTTCGAAAAGGTCAGAAATCGCTCTTCTAATATATCAACTAAGAAACTACGAGTATACCAGAATAAGATAATAAAGGTTGTATCAGTAAGAGTGCACTTTATAAATTTAGATATTTTTTTTTCGCTCAAGTGGAATTTGACAGCTGTCACCTGTATTTATTCCGATTATTGATAAAAATGAAATGGTTTTCGAAAGAACAACGCGTTATAATTGTGAAAACTCATTACAAAAATGGGGAAAGTTACGATGAAACCGCTTGCAAACTTCGCCAAATTTTCAGTCGAGAAAGTACACATAATGTGTCAATCATTCGAAGAGTGGTCAAAAAATTTGAAGAAACTATGGATGTTATGAATCCTTTACGTCAACGTATCAGTCGGTCTCTGAAAACATTGCTGTTATAAACGAGTGTGTTGCCGAAAACATGAAAACATCAATTCGGCATCGTTCTCAACAACTTCAAATTTCACGAAGCACTACGCAGTGGATTTAGACAAAAGACCTCCACCTTCATGCATACAAGATTCAGCTAACTCACGAGTTCAAACCAGCAGACCATGGACAGCGCCGGCAATTCGTTCAATGGGTAAGGGAGCAAAGTGAAGTCGATGCCAATTTTTCGAAAAAAGTCATCTTCTCCGATAAAGCGCATTTCCAACTGAATGGCTACGTGAATACACAAAATTGTCGAATTCGGTGCTCAGATTCTCATGCAATTATGAGAATAAATGCACCCACAACGAGCAACTGTCTGGTGCGGATTTTGGTCAGGCGGCGTGATTGGGCCTTACTTTTTTGAAGATGAGTCCGAAATCGCAGTGACTGTAAACGGCATTCGTTACAGAAATATGATAACGGAGTTCTTGTGGCCTCAACTGGACGGTATGGATCTGGACAACATGTGGTTTCAGCAGGACGACGCCACCTGCCACACCGCTCATAAAACAATCGACTTATTACAGCAACGATTTCCAGAACACTTTATCTCACAAAATTCTGATGTCAACTGGTCACCAAGATCGTGCAATTTAACGCCGTGCGATTTTTTCCTTTAGGGTTTTGTGAAATCTCGGGTTTGTGCGAATAAACCAGAAACAATTCCTGAGCTCACGTGTTTTTATTTTAAAATGAAAAAGTGCACTCCTACTGAGACATCCTTTATTTAATGCATGGTATCAATGTTTGTTGACAAAGCAGGTCTTTTTAAACATTTAGTAAATCTTATTTAATTAAACGAAAATAAGATATTTATCTAATACACACTAGATTTTTTTTACGATTTAATTTGATTAATGATTTTATGATTATGAGAAAGTGGAAATTAATTTGATGTAATATATTCCTTTCTCCTAAAAATTTATTGTTATTTAATTCAGTCTGTATTAATTCGAAGTTGAATCTTTACTGGTGAGTATTTTGAGCCGAGGTCATAGTAATGATAATTTTAGACACAATGTCACACACATTTAATCGTTTTCTTTAACCTCCATGATAATAAGTGATGTCTGTTCATTTGAGATATTACAAGCAAATATTTTTAATTATATATTACTACTATATTTTGCTTACGGCTTCGATGGTAATGATTTATTTTGTCCATTTAAGTAACCGATTAGACAAGCATTTCTTTCTAGATGATAGGTATTCTGGTATTCCTTTCCGTGCCACTAAAAATTTCATAATGATAAATTGAGAAGTTAAAAGTAAAAACAAAATCATTAATCTCATCAATCTCATTCATATTTATATCATTATTAATATTATTGTAGTTTTAGGTATTTAAAAAGTTAAAAAATATTCGTTACAAATATTAACGTTTTAATTCAATCGTCAATATATAACATAACTGTTAAAAATGCTTTCCCTTGGCTCAACTTAAAATTTATATAAGGTACTAAGAATGCTTAAAGTATAAATAAGTTAGTATAAGCAAATATTATCATATAAAGTTATAGCCAATAAAATAGTATACGTATTTGTGCGTCATAAACGCCAAACTAGAATTTCCTGTACAACAATACAGGAAAATAAAAGATCCTCATGACATCTAAATGATATCTATAAAAATCATAGTTTTATAAAAATGAAACATATGGGCTAGCGTTAACATTTAAATAAACAGTTCAAGAATAATTATTTGGAATATCGATATTGGTTTCTGGTATAATGATTTGGAAAGTATCGTTGTATACAAAGCGTACTCGTATATTGTACTGTAGTTTATATAATGTATAAAAATAAAAAATAAAAATATTTTCATCTTACAAATGTATCTCTTGCATTCTTTTTAGGGATACGAGGATATCCTGTTAGGTATATATAATTTGTGGATTTGTGTTCCATGTGGGGATCGGTCCTAACCCACTACACTATAATATACACGAATACAGTCGTTGTGCTAGTTCAATATTACTTGTCGTGATCAAAATTTTAATTATTTCATTAAAGTAAAGAGCAATGTATATATATATATATATATATATATATATATGTGTTTTTCTAATTGCAAAGTACTTCTATTTATCTACACGTTCTAACATATTTCTATTAACAACAAAAAATGCATCACAGTTCACAGTATATTATTTGTATTAGTTTTGCTAAGAAACGGTTCCTAAAAATCATACGTCAAGATTTTTAATTGACTTCAAAAAAGAGGTTCTAAGATTTTTGTTTATGATACCTCATTACTTGATGAAGAAAATAACATTTTTGTTTCATCAAGGTTGGTGGTTGTTGTTGTTGCTATATTCTTTACCAGTCATCCTAGGTTGTTATAAAGTAATACAACCTAGGGTGACAGATAATAATACATCTTAACTTTAGGCATCACTGATTGTTCGTCCTTAGTGCTGACATTTATTGTTAGGTTTAATAACAGAATTCTTATGAATCTATAAAACGACCTTATCGATGAGCATTTACGTATTAAAACAAGTTGACACAAAAATATCACGTAGATATTCGCAAATGTTACGAATTTTAAAGCTTTCTTGAACATGTCAAGGCCCAAACAAATGAAGGTCTTACTGAGTATAGGTAAGGCATATTTATCTTTAAAAAAAGTTATAAATATATATATATATGTACAATGTGGAATAATCATAACTTCATAATAATGCTATTTCCGAAACGTGTTCAGTTTTATCATGTTTGACTTTTACCATATTATCTCTATAATACCTATTTGTGACCAACGATTTTAAAACCAATTGATCGATAAATTAAGCGTACATTCATGTTGACTGACAAAGGACTTTGTTCTCAATAAATCATATATCTGTAAACTAATGTGACGTAATGAAGCATTGAGCTGACTTGTTTATCATTATTGTAGAAGGTATACACAAGAACATTAATGATGTTTTAAAAAGTGTTCGATAGGTACGATTATTTGTAGTGATGTTTGTTTATTCAAATTTTGTTCAGATTTAGCGGGAATCCTCTTCCTTCTTAGAGTTATAATTCGCGTTATTAATTGAGACACGCATTAAATATACACAAACAGTGTGGTACATTCAGAGCGTTAGCAAGAATAATTAAGAAGAAGCCGTGCTATATGTGTTGTTTTTTTTTTGCCTTTGGTTTTTTGGACAAAAGGCCTCCCCAAATCTATTCAAACATCTTTATCTTTGGCCACTTCTTACTTCGTACTGGTACTTCGACAAAAGTAAACTTGAATTTAATTTTTTTTTCTTTACTTACAGCTCACAAAGAGGGATGTTACGTTAAGGAAATCGACGATGTGATACCGTTCGGTGAAACCGTTACACCTCTTGGCTACTGCTACAGAATCCACTGTTCTTCACAATTAATGGATTACGCATCGTAAGTATTTAAAATACTTGAAAGTTTCATTATTGTTCACGTTATTATTCTGAGTTTGGGCGTTCATTATGTTCGTTTCATGAAAGTTTGTAAAGTCCCCCGTGACCATATTCTTAGTACGGTAGGTGTATTTAAAAAAAATGTTAGTCTAATAACCCTTAAAGGCTTGCCTACTGATGCCAATTGGGACCTTTGGGTGTTTAAAGATAGGCTAAGTGACTGTATAGGAAGCAAGGTGAAGAAGTCAGGCAAGAGAAATAGTATAATATGTATGTGCCTATTTACAAAAAAAGTAGATAAGTATTCTATCAGTCAATCTAGCTTTCATTGTAAAAGCTCTGCTTAGTTTAAACTAGATGGCGTTGTGTGTCAGATGTTAGAAATATTATTATTATAGGTAATGATACAGATAGGCTTACAGACCAGATCAGGCAGTGTCTCGAGCAGGTCTTGCCCAGAGGGGCAAGTCAATCAAGTTATTTATCAGTATAACTTTAATTTGGAAGAGTATTCAAAAAATAAATTTTCAATTAATGATCGTTGAGAAATTAATGACAATAAAATCATGACGATGTGTTTGGTTTGGTTTTAATAAACCGTAATCTATTTTTTCCAGGTGCGGTGCAGTGTTTACAGATGATCCAAAATGCCACAAAACTGAAACAGATCTGAGCAAGCCATACCCCAGCTGTTGTCCAGACATCAGATGTGATCTCGACAATCACATTCTTTAGAAAATAGATTAGTATATGGTAGAAATATCTGATTTCTGTGGAAGTGGTGGCATTGTTTGATAATAGATTTTTAAAATTACTCATTAAAAGTAATAAGATTAAAGGCATATGTAAGTTGTTATTAAAGAACAATGAATTGAATTGAAATTTATGACTGGAACTAATGAACTAAAAAAATACTGATAGTAAAAAAATTAAAACTGGTACTCTATAAAGTGTATAATTTATAAAATAAGTTTTACAAAAAAAAAATTTAGAGATTCAGCATAAAATATACCTGCTAGCTATACAGCTTTATCCATATATTTATATTTAAAAAATGCCATCACTTAATATATGAGCTCAGAGGTATCATAAGACTATTAGATAGAGTTCCTTAAGAAAGAGTTAGGATGCTAACTCTAGAAGCTATCTTGGCACCAAATTGTTGTTTTTAAATATTTATGTTAATGAATTAAATATTAGTTGAAAGTTTTTTTCTGTTTTATTACGAAATTTCCTCCGACACCATACATTGTAAATTCTTTAAGTAAGTTGTCAAGCAAGGACAAGACTAAAGTAAAAAAAAACTTGTCCATAAATATTGTCTTGAAACTTGAAAATAAAAACAAGTAGAATGTACGACATTATTATTGAGAATGGAAGAAGAATGAATTATATTTATTTATAATAGGCTGATCCGGCGAACTTTGGCCGCCATATTTTTGTTTTCGTAATTTCTGAAATACTTGTTTTACTATTTATGCCCATCTCGGCATCACACGGGCGGTGTACTTTCGTGGATTAGATTATCAAAAATTCCATATATTGTCAAATTGAAAAGCACCGGCAATGTTACACGTTATGTGCTCAGTGACAAAAAACATTATTGTACTGTAGACACAGGGTCTTAGGTCCTCTTCGTGTAATTGATCTACAAGCTGCACGTGTAGAAAGTCTGGCAGAATGCCCTAAGTACTCGTAGTGTCACCTTCTCTTTTTCAGTGCAGCGTGCAAATCCACGAGCCAACATATTACAGCGAACAGACAATGCCCTACGTTCAATTTCCACATTCATATTATCTTTAAGATCCTCGGTGACTCAGTGGCCCAGATACTTAAAGTGAGCGACTCTATTTAAAGGTGCCGTAGGGTGAGACGGATGGTATCTCTAAATAAACCTTTTTGGGTGTTCTAAAATCCATAACCTCACTTTTCTTCATGTTACATCTGAGCCCATGAGCTTCCGCATATCTTTCACAAATATGCATCAGCCCGGGCAACGCCCCGATTGAAGGGCTGGGCAGGACCATGTCATCCGCGTAACTAATATTATTAACGAAAACTCCATCTATATGATAATCAATTCCGGTGCTGCTTAGCTCTTCAATCAGGCCGCTCATATACAAATTAAACCGTATTGGCGATGTTAGTCCACCCTGACGCACCCCACACTCCAGCCCGTACTCATCCGATGGACTATTCGCCCAGCTAACAGTAATTTTTCATTATTATACCAGTACATAAATATGGATACAATCTCAGGAGGGAGACTAGTGTCTTTATGCATTTTTATCCAGAGTAGCTCGTATGAAGTCATATCATATGCCCTGGACAGGTCCAGAAAACACGCGTATACAGACGTTTTACGCACGGTATAGTACTGTACAGTCTGCTTGAGGCACATGATCACACTATCCGTCGATAGACATGGCCGAAAGCCGAACTGAAGTCAAGGATATAGGCCTATAGTTTGACCTGTAAGAGCCATCACTGGTCTTGTTTTTTTACAATGGGGACAACAATAGTATACATGAGGTCGTCAGGCAGGTAGGAGTGGCTAACACACAGATTAAATAACAAAGCTAGGACTCTAGGTAAGTGTACCCCAGCATACCGCAGATATTCGCTGCTGAGGTTATTATGACCTGGAGACTTTTCTCTTTTCATAGATTGGATATCTAAAGCAATATCCTTTTTACAGAATCTTACATTAATATCTCCATTGGCCACTGAGACTGGTGCGGGCTTTATAGGCGGTTTAATTCTGAAATGCTGCTGAAATAATCTCGCGATATCCTCCGGCTCGTGTACACCCTCAACGCTCACGGGCCGGATTGGCTTCAGATTCAACTTGTTCATTGATTTCCAGAACTTTTGTGATTGCAATAGTGCTGTGCTATTATATCCACCTTAATTTGTTGTTGGTTATTTTGACACCATTTCAATTCTACCTTAGATATTGGCCTAGACTTAGCCATTTCGTTGTATATATGACCACAGCTAGGTGTACTCGGGTACATCTTCGGGCAGGGGCCGACCGCCGCAGCCCACCCGGAACTCAGCCGTCCGCGGGTATACTTCGGCGAGCACTTCCGGCTCCAAATCACTCGGGGGAGTTCCATCCAATGCGCACGCCACCTCCGTCGACACGGTGGGCCAATACCCTCTGAGGACGCCCAAGGCGCGCCCTGTCCTTGGCGGTTAGAGCCGCCGGTGCGCCGTACAGTGCCATTGACCGGACATCCCACGTGTACAGACGTCTCGTCGCGACGTTGGGTCGTCACTGGACCCGAGAGTGGGAGGAGGGGCAGGCCGCCACAGAGCTACCCATCTCTGTGGCGGCCTGCCCTCCTGCCCCCTGTTGGACCCTGTTGAAACTTGGCGAATTGAGCACTCAGTTCAGCCACCTACTCTGTCAGGCGGTCAGGTCGGACTGAAGGTGTACCACGTCCCCCATGAGGAGGAATGCTTAAGAGCCCTTACAAAGGAACTCTTAAGGTTTTTGGACTTGGTGATCACTTTCTGTTTTATGGCCACTGCCACGTTTGCTCTCTCCTGCAAAGACACCGTTGAACGGGGGGACGGAACTACTTTCTAAAAGTGAATAATGATGTGGAAAAGAGCTATCATTAGCTTCGAGTGTTTATTTGCACTTAACTTTATTCTAAGATGCAGGAGCAGACTACTAGTAGCGACATCTACTGATTCTTTTGCCTACTTTAAGATTTTATTTAGTCTCTTAATATGGCAGCGATTTATGTATTTGACCATTAGATGGCGCACGTAGTCGCTATATGTTGAATTAAAATTAGTTGGTTATGTAAACTTATTCACGAATACTTGCTTGAAGTTTTAAATCTAAAATATATCCGATTGCATATTCGATTTATAACGAATAATAGAGTTAAGATATTGAAATTATACCCAATTTTAATAGTAATTTAAATACTATAAAGCTATCTCTGTGGAGGTTATCTTCAAGCATACTCAGTCAGTAAACAGTGATACTAAAATAATATTTTGATTTCGTGCTCATTATTTAAAGGTAAAATTAAAGAGATAAAGATTTATTTTGCAAAATATATATATATATATATATATATATATATATATATATGAACAGAGTGCAGTGTTCAGACAATTTTTATTTCTAGAGAATATATGTAGACATTCATTACATATTACAATTTATAATATTTCACAGTCTATCTTAACTCCACATGATATAATAATAGTCGCATTTGTAGTAATAATGATTGTAATTTATCTATTAAGACGTCCAGTTAATATGTGTTGCTAAGTGTTATTAATAATATGTACCGTGTCGTAAAAATTAATACTAAAGGTACTGGTAGTCAAATTTCGTTTTTTTGGTTTATTTCTTTGACTAGTATAACTCTGAACTTTCTCTTTTCTTCCTTTCTCTTCTCTTTTCTCTATTTTTTAAAAGGGTTACAAATCATTCTTTTAAAAAAATTAAAATGGAATTTGTCTTTATATTCATGTTTGGCAACGGTTGTAGTAGGTGTTTGTTACATATTCAACAGATAAACCCCTGTCAAAGATCAGTGACTCTAAAAATGTATAAATATCACTACTTAGTTTACATTTAAAACAGTTTACGTACAACATTGTAGTAAGGCATTCACGTTGTGCTTTAAATCATGAGGGAAATAGTAATTTCAATATTTTTCCTGGTTGCTGGGTGTACAGGAACTGCAAATTTCGATGATTTTATGGGTAAATTGACACCTGTTGCTACAGTTCCGCCTGTAGACTCTATTCTTCCCTGTACTAAAATGATATACTCAAAGAATCCTGAAAATTCACAATGTAAATGTTTAGATGAAAAGAAAACTGAGTTGATTGATATTAAGAAAATTAAACAAAGAGGCAATAATGTGGCCACCATACCCGTGGTGGTTGCTGAAGATGCAAGTGACGCATTATCTTTATTAAATGTGACATGTGACTGCGGAGGTGAACATTTTGGAAACCGTGCCGTCGTAAAATTATTAAATGAAAATTACTTTGTGATCTATACGAGACTATCTCCAACGGAAAATGAACCAGTTCTTGCGACAGTTTTTGCTAAGGCCGTTCCTGCATTCTTAGAAATTGTTAATTTAGTGAAAACTATTCCTGGATTGGGTAACAAGACGGTTGGAATAGTATGCAGTGTTGAATTCGATCCATCAGAAGCATCGCAGTGAAGTCCTTAACAAATAGGACGAGGAAGAGAATTGTGTGACAAAATTGAAAAAAGGATAATAGTAGAGAAACAAGTTTCTGTAAACCTTTAATAAACTTATTTAAAATCCAAAATTTCTAATTTTCAATTCTTCTACAAAGTAAAAAAATAATTGAAATGCAATGCAATAAAATTTATAAATATTTTTGATTCAACTGTGCGCTTTAGCACCTTAAACATGTGAATTATTTACATAATATCATAAATTTAATCATCACCGGCCTCTCATAGTCCACTGCTGGACATAAGCCTCTTCTTAGAAATGAGGTTTTAGCCTACTATACGGAAACGATGCCGAAAAGACGGATTTGTGTTAAGTTTGGGGTCCGGATGTCTTATTACAGCAGTTCTCGGATCCCTCCTATTACAGACGCAGAGTGGCACACCGTGTGGTTATAGTCGGTCCGACACACCACCCCGCCGCGGACCCCGGTGGGGTGGGTGTAAAAAAAAGGGATTGTGTTAAGTTTTCACTCTCCATGGAGTCCCGTTGTCCTGCATAGTTTTATTTAATTAAATATAAAAAATAAAATCATTCGCCTTTTTAAATATCTTTGATACAGTTGTGGATATTTTGTGGTTTTTGTTTTTAATTTTAGAACTGTTTTTATAAAACTTAATGTTTTTTATCCAGTCACATAATGACCTAAAACGAGATCTTGACTAAGACATTAAATACAGCGTGTCGAATACGCCAAAGGACTATCTATCTTCATGTATATATACGTCTCTTGCTTCCGTTTCAATCCTATTTTTTATAGTTAGTAGACTGCTCAATTACTTTTTGTATTCTGATATGAAAAAAACAATTTACGCAGTAAGAATATATCTTGTACCGCGGAGGATTTTGCAAATATTCATGAAAAAGACACAACATCAAGACTCAGAACACAATAATTTATAAATTACACAAAGCTTTTCCCATGTAGGGATCGAACATACAACATTCAGCGTACTCGCTTTTTACCTTCTATCTAAACTAACCTAAACTTCCTTTCTGAGGAGAGCCTTATGTCCAGCTGTGGACTATTAAAGATTGTAGATGTGTGATGTGATGAATATATTTCTTTTCTTTTGTGAACATAGTTGAACTGAACTAGTACTTAACTACTTACAAAATAACAACTCAAATATATACCAAACAAATATAATGTGAACAGAAATGTTCCTACAACCTTGTTTAACTTTGTCATTAACTGTTATTTATTAACAGTAATCAATGAAAGCTGAACTACAGGTCACATCTTAAACCCATCTTCTAATTAGTACCTACAATAAGTATTTACTTTTGCATTTTATTTTAATCTGTAAATTTATAAAAATGAATTTAAAAAAAGTCCGAATGATGTAATAGAATTACTATTTCACTATAAAAGTGTTTAATGTATGCCTCGGTGCTTACTTCGGTGGTTCAGTAGTAGCGTAGGCGTTGCACTGTGACCAGGGGGTCGGACCAAATGTTTGTATGATCTGCAAGTGCAAATGTTTCGGAGTTTGGCTGATTCCTATAAAATAATTAAATATATTTATTTATTCTATTACCTACGTCTTGACCAAGGATTAATAATTTTGTTGTAGTTAAGGTCATATCACATGAGAATTATCGCTTACAAATATATCAGCTTCTTAAAGTTATCACACAGTGTACACTGGATGTTAATGATATGTCAAAGGTCAGTTAACTGAGACATATAAATTGCGCTAGCTTATTTACACATAAAACAGTTCTATATTTCTTCAAATTAGGAGTGTTTTCAATTTGCCAAAAAATGTGGAAATTTATTATTTTTGCGATATGTATGCTTAATGTGATTGCGGGAAATGCAAATATTGAAGGTTTAATGGGAGAGTGGACCCCTGTGGCTTTATATCCACCGATCATTTTCATGCCTTATTGCCTGAAAATGAAGTTCTTAATAAACTCCAGTAATCCACAGTGCGAATGTTCAGATGGTAAAAAGACTAACTTAATTGAAACTAGAGGAACTGGTGACTTAGAAAAGGCCCCACCAGCATTTGGACCAATGCTTTTTATTGAAGATGAAAATGAAGTTGCGGCTTCATTAAATGTGAATTGTACGTGTGGCGGCGAAAAATATCAATACCGAACACTTGCGAAATCTATCAACGATAACTACATGGTGCTATATAAAACACAAAATATAACTAAAGAGGATCCTAACGGTGCCATGATCTACGCAAAAAGAATTCCTGCTTACTCTGAATTAATGGAGTTTATGAAAAACTTGAAAGAATTAAGTGACAGGCAAGGCGGAATATTGTGCTGTACTGAATATGAAGCAGCACAAAAATCATTTTCACACCAAAAACCTATCGAGAAGCGAGAATAAGTAAATATGTACTTTCAACGTACTATTCAAAGTGATATGTGCTGATAATTAAGTAAAAATTTGAATTTTAGTAATGTTCTTTTTATTTGTTATTTTGGAAAATATCAATATTAAACCCTAATTCTTACTTATATTATAAATGTGAAAGTGAGTTTCTTTGTCACGCTTTTCCGCCCAAACCATAAACCGATTTTGAAATTCTGCAACAAATGGAAAGCTACGTTATTAGCGAGTAACATAGGCTACTTTTTACCGCGATAACCGACGTACACGCGGGCGGAGCTGCGGGCAAAAGTTAGTTACTGATAATTGAAAACTTCTCCTTTCATATGCAAGTCAGTAAACTCTTTCTTCGCTGGACTCTAGCTATTTCACGAGTAATGAGTTTTCATTCTACGCAAACTGAATGTTTCACAGTTTCTCAAAATTAAATCAAGTCACAGAACAATCAATGATAAGATAATAAAGAACAGAAATATTATATTTTTAAATTCCGAATGTTGTGACTTTTATACATTAGGTAATAAATAATAATATTTGGGACATCTGACACAACGCCATCTAGTTTCAAACTAAGCAGACCTTGTACTATGAAAAACTAGATTGGCTGATAGAATACTTATATTTTTTTTTGTAAATACATACATATATATTATACATAGAATACACCCAAACTCCGAAACAAATATTTGCAGATCATACGCATACGCTACCACTGCACCATCGAGGCAGTCAAATAATATTAGTGTGTTCTCTATTCCGAAAAATTGACACCTAATCCCTTTGTTTTTCTAATTGTTCTTCATTTTTTGCTTAATGCGCTACTAAAACCATTTCATTAGTGGCTCCTTACTAAGCTCTTGCCGTAATAATTATGTATATTATCTTAAGCTTATATCTGTTTACTTTAAAATACAGAACAAATATTTACATCACCAAGCCAAAAATAATGCCAGTGCTAGTGATAAAATCCAACGGTAGCTTATATATTTTTAAAAGTGTCAGAGGTTCAGAGCGATAAATTTGCTGAAAGGTGAAATGTGTTTAGCCTATAGAACTTAGTTTTATTTTAAATAAGTGGACTCAAGTATAAAGCAGAGTTTTTAACTATGTTTTGTGTTAAGGGAAAATATCGTATTCCGTTTGTTCCAAATTTATCAATATTCCGGGTAAGTTTCCCTTTTTGTATACCATAGCTTTAGTGTGAGTTTGTTTAGAGCTGATGTTAAAAAAAACCGACAAAAAGAAAGCGAAAATAATTACGTAACTTTTATGGTAAAATAAAGTCACGTTGGCACCAAACACTCGGTTGTATTTGTAATGTCAGCATTAAACTTTAAAATTAATAAAGTGAGAAATACTCAACTTAATTTCTTAATCTTCACTAAGAAATAATAATAATAATAACTTCACACATCTCACACATGGCCGTTTGATCGTAAACTAGACAGAGCCTGTGTTATGATAACCAGACCGCTGATAAACATTGTTATATATTTTTAAATACATACATATTATAGATAAATTACACCCAGACATGAACCAAATGACCGTGCTCATCACACAATATTTGTCCTGGGTGGGAATCGAAACCACGACCGACGACAGCTTAGCAGCCAGTCATTACCCAACTATTATTTTTTCAAATCTTCAATATTTTGAAGTACATCAATAAGATCCGCTTTCTCAGGAACTTTCTTTAGCAAAAAATTATGCAGTATCAGGCGTTTTTTCATACATCACAATAAAGTTGTTAATTATTTCTCGAACGAAGCTGCACGAGATGTGCAGTTGACATCCAGGACTTTGTCAGTTGGAGAATCAATACCTATTATCGGAAATTTTTGACCTTGCACTTTCAGTTTTCCGATAAAGTACCTACTACTACTACCAGTCACTAACGTCGCTTTCTTTCCATCTGAACAAGTCAGCGACAGTCAGCGTCATGCCAAACTTTTTTAAAATAGAATTCAATGCGAGCCGGTTCGCATCTCATATGTGGATAAAATGCAACTTGCGTCCACGTGCTACTGAGGAAAATCTCTAGACTGGTGGCTTTACTCAAACTCTCTTTATTTCATAAAAAAATAAATTAAAATCGTCTGTTATGTAGACTCTAAAATCAGAGATCAACACACACAATAGCAACGATCTCGGTCTTGTCAATAAATTCTTTCATTAAATATCATTTTTGAATCCTGTTATTTAGATATGAAGGAAGAAGTTAGAGTGCTTTATTTTTGATACCATTGTGCTTTAATTTCCTGATCAGCGTTTCATGAACAACACAATCGAAAGCTTTAGATAAATCGCAAAAGATACCTAAAGAATCGTAGGCATCCTCCCAGGTATCAAATACTTTTCATACTTTACTTTGCATATATTTAAATAACTGAGTAAATGTAAGTGCACGGGTAATAACAGGCTGTACTAATATTTGATAATCTCATTTTCCGTTTGTATAAATACTAAGTTAAAGCTACTGACCTTTGGCATTTTAGTTATCATCTACAATCCGTTGTTGTTGTTTTAGTTTAATAGGTATCTTTCTCTTGATATATTGACATCGCACTATCTGTGCTCAAGGCTCCATAGATAGAGAACTTTTATACACATAAATAAGTTGTTTAGTAAAAATTTATGAGTATTGTAATGTGTTATGAAACTATTTAAGACACTAAACTCACTAAAACAATGACTGCACGGATGGCGTAATGGCGTACACTCAGCGTATTAGTAAGCGGCGTGGCGACCGCTTACGCTTACTAATACGCTGAGTGTTGTGGGTCCGATCCCCACATGGGACGACACTTTGTGTGATCCACAAATTGTTGTTCTGAGTTTGGGTGTCCTTTGTGTCCGTTTCATGTATGTTTGTAAATTCCCCCGCGACGCAGGGTTTATTCCTAGTGCGGGGGCAGAAAACAGAAACACAATAGAACAGAATAAAATCTGACGGTAGCTCACTGATAATCAAAAAGTCAGTTATCAATTAGCGATAAATTTGCGGAAAGATGAAACGTTTGAACCTTTGAACTAGGTTTAGAGGTTTTTTTAATTCATGTTAACAAGCGTTCATACCTACTTCAAAGACCAGCTACGCACTCGTAACTTCTAGTGGCATGACATTTTAAGTTCATAAGTTTGGAACAGGTAGTCTGCAGCCTGTATAGACAGGGTTAGAATAATTAATTTTGGAGAGCACTGAAGCATAGTGAACTACTGTCATGCAGTAGATTAATAGCTATCTGCATTTTTGTTTCACTGATTCCTCGCAATTGAAACCAGAGCTCTGTGAAAAAAAATAGTTCAGCCGTTTGGCTTTTTGGTTGCAAACCCACGCTTTGCAGTAAATGTATCAATTTGAAAATGTATTTCGACGCGGTTTTTTGGCGTGCATTGATCGGTATCTGTATGCGATTTGACTTGAAATTGAATTTTAGATTTGAAATTCTGAAGTCTATGTCTGTTGAACTAATTCTTAGATTTTTTTTATTACATATTGCATATTATATTCCTCAAAATTGGTTTACTTTTTACACGAACTAGACGCAGTCTGTGGTGTACTGTTATAGGGTCAAGAATGAATGTTTTAAAATACATACTGTACTTATATAAAAACCCAAACAATGTTGACATTCAAAAAAATACAAAAACAATCGAATGCCAACAGTGCTATCTGGTGTAAAATAATATTCGTACACAGAGATGTGGTACGAGTTTAGTTGACAAATTACATTTCCATAGAATAATTACACCTTATTCCTTTTAATTTAATTCTCAGTATGGTTTTCCACATGTTAAGAATTTTTAAAAGCTGTCTGTAATGTTTCTATTTTTAGATTGTCTTACAATGGCGTACTGAAGCATTAATTATTTTTATGAAAAAGGAGCTTTTTTAGGAGCTCATGCGTTTGTTTGTTCGTCTGTCACAGACACAGTTTATTACGAATCCACTGTTCCAATCTCGGGCCTGTATAATCAGTGGCCTGTATTTCGAGCACCTTGATATTTTTGTATGATATAAACGCTAACAGAGAAATAATTTTAATGACACAGTTATAATGTCATAGTTCCATGTATTGACACCTTATACGGCGACTCCTTCGTCTTTAGCCTGGGTTCCTGTTCCGAAGAACTGTTATCACGATTGTCGAAAAATTCGAAATCAGGCGTTTGAAAGATCTTGTCACAATGTTATAGTTATTACGTTTACAGAAATATGGCTGTTTTCACATCTGTTATTTCAGCACCTCGTCTCAGCAATCCTGTCAGAGTGAGAAACATTACAAGAGCAAGACTCGTTGCGGTTTAAAATTCACTTCTGAAGTTTGGAATGTTCGGATGAAGACGCTGCTTTTTTGTTACCATGCGATTTGCGATTTTTTTTTAGGCGTTAAACTTCATGCCTAATTAATTGTATCACTTTACTAATTCAGAGCAAATCTTGTAAGAGCGTTTCTATAAACTTTACGTTTTAAGACATTTGGGTAGTCATAGTCCCTATAGCAATTGATTGTTTTATATCCGCAAGGCACCGAAATACGTAATAAATATATTCCCAGAATCGTATGTGATTTTAGATTTAACTTAATATCTAGTTAAGTTTGTATTTAATCGTTCTTCCCCATTACTTTTCTACGACAACGCGCGAGCTCAATCTTTACTTACTTTTAAGCTAAAATAAAAATAAGTAAAGGCCTAATATTTATTACAAAAATGTTTTTAATTTGTTGTTACAGCACATAAGAATAAACTTTAAGAAAGTATCACCGAAGTCGAAATTTTTACCGCTTTTTTCCACTGGACTTCCCGCCGCTAACAATCTGACCACTTGCTTATACTCTGCAATTCATAAGTATCATAAGTTTTTTTTGTTTAAATACCGTCTCCATTATCACATCTTTCATTCCCAAAGTGCCCGATTGTCAGTAATAAATTTTGCCCCCTATTACGAGTTAGAAACAATTTACAACTGGCACAGTGTGTGGTTTATAGGT